AACAAATGCTGGTGAGGTTATCAGAGGGAAAAAAGAACACTTCTATGTGGTTGGTGGAAACGCAGACTGGTTCAACCATTGTGGAGATTCCTTAAAAGACTAAAACTAGAAATTCCATTTGACTCAGGTATTCCTCTTATAGGTATATTCCCATGTGATATAAAGACATCAGGTGCTATGTGCATACTCATAGCACACACCTCATAACAGCTAAATCTTTGAAGTGACCCATATGTCTATCAACAGATGAATGAATAAAGAAAACATGGTATTTACACAATATGGTGGGCAAGTAGCCCTACAGAAAGATAAACCTAAGTCATTTGTGGGAAAATGGATGCATCCGATACCATAATTTTAAGTGAAATAAATCAGACACACAAGATTTATTATCTCATGATTTCTCTTTCATAAGAAATTCAAATTATAAATAAAGGTGAAAATAGAAGATAGTTAATAGGAAGTAGAGAGATAATCATTTTTCAATGGAGGATCAAGAGATAGAGGGAGGAGAAATGAAGGAAGGGGAAGGATGCCACGAGGAATAAAGACGTGTTGTGTACATTTATCAACTCAGGGAATGTACACATTATGTCTGCAAATGTACACTAATGAAAAACAAAAAAAAAACTATTTTAAGATTTTTAAACAGTAAAACAGTAAAAAGATTTTAAACAGTATTTTATTTTATTAGATTTTTTTCATATTTTTATTTTAGTATATCTCCTCTATACCCCTATTCCTTTTGTATACTACTCTGTTATTAAATACTGGCCATATGATAACCAAGAAAGGATAAAATACCTTTAATCTAACAATGCCAAAGTGAACCAAGTATCAGTTATTCCCACTAAAAAAGAGATGCTTCTTCCTGCTAAAATTATAGAAGTTACAATTTTGTGAAGCACATATTTTGCTATTCCTTTATTCAGTCAGGTATTGGACTTATGTAAGACCTAGAATTAGGTGCTAAAGAAGAAAGGCAAAACTCTTCCTTCAATAATTTCACATTTTATTTTATGATAACATTTCTCTAAGTCTGCATATTTAGAAAGAATGTATTATATTTTTCCCAGACTATAAGAGAACTTCTTTGAAAACAGATGACTCAGTTATACAAAGTGTACTGACTCTAGTGTCCTCTGGAGGGACTTACAGCAATGATACTTTCCAATAAAATAGCTGAAGTGAGGGTGAGGCTGGGAGTTAGGAGTTGCCTCTGCCAGAGGGGTTAATGTGCCTTGCTCATTGAAGGATTGTGTCAAAAGGTGTTGGGCTGAAGGCCACAGTTTTGTGTTTGGTGTCTTCTTTGGTCCCCCTTCTCCAGTTTTCCCGCAGCGTTAGTGTGCTCCCTATTATTCTGACCAAGTGCGCATTGTGTTGGAAAGGGATGTGATACGTTCAGCAGAATTACTTAATTAGGTTTAAGTAAGCAGTAAGTGCCGAGAAGGGTAGGCGTGCTTTCTAGTCATAAAAATGTGCCTGCAATGCATGCTGTGTTCTGGAGGAATGAAACATGGTGATTGATGTGATGATAAAACGATGAAGAGAAGGATAAAACCTAAGAGATGTAAGACTCAAAGGGAAATAAAGCAGGGTAGCAGCTGCCCCCATCTTAATTGAAACATAAATTTGAAGATTCTGGGGGATGTGCGTGTCTGTACATGCACACGGGTGTGATGAAAAGCAAGTTAAATTCTTTCATCCTTTGTGTGCAGGGTTTTTAAACTACAGCTTAAAGAAGTTGCAGATGTAGGAATGCACTGATTATATTTGAAAGATACTCATTTAGTCAGCATTTTAAAGAGAATAGTCAACAATGGACAGGAACTTTCCTACCATTGATGATCTGGTAGAGTAGAAACCACACACTTCTCTACCAACCCGTGATATCTCTTCTCTCTACACATACCTTTCCCTTCCTCCAATACACCCTCTTCCAGAGTCATTTTTAAAAATACAGATGCCATGTTTTCATTATTTCATATCCCACCATACCTTTGCACGTGACGCATCCCATTCCAGGCATACACAAGCAGCCTCTTCTTGGTTCTCTCTGTGCCCAAATGTCAGCTTTTCAGTTTTTAAACATATTGCTTATTTTTCGTACCATGGTAATTTTGTTGGAATCTACCCTGAACATCAAGTACCTTTAAATATGTATCTCATCTATTAAAATGCTACCCTCAAGTTTCCAAAGCCTCCTAACACTTTTATCAGTTTAGTAGTCCTTCTTAATTACTTGAAAATTTTGCTTGACACATTGTGTTGAAAATCTTACTTTATTTTTCCTGAAAGTGGTATTTACCTTATGTGGTTTTTATTTTTTGTTGATGTTGTTTATTTGCTTTATTTGTTTTTGTAGTTATAATTTCCTTGAAAGCAAGGCAAGGAAGGGTTACTAATTTGTTTCTAACTATAGTTTTATATGCTGTAAGCATATGAAAAGCACTGGGCATGAGTGAATAGATAGTCATTGACTATTTGAGATTCATATAAGATTTTTCATGTGGAATCAGTTGCTTCACTAAATTCTTAGAAATTTTCTTCAGCAGATTAGAAAATACACAATGCTAGACATGCAAGAATATCTCTCTGCAGAGAGCCAGTGATATATATCGCATACACAGGTACGATTTCAATGGTTTTCATGAACTATTTTAGAGAACATGCATCCCATTATATGGGGCAAATTATCATGAGAAGTACTCTGGAAAATCTTTCCTTTGATACCCTTACTTGATAGCTTAAGCTACATGAATCTTTACTTTAATAAAATGCCTTAAGAAAGAAAACTGGTTTCTAAGTTTAGTAATAGTTCAGATTTTTTTTATAGCTTTGCTGCAAACTTCCAAAACAGAATTTGGAAGTCTTGACACTTTCTACTTTACAGAAAGGCTAGGATGGATCACCATTAAACTGGAACTGCCACTAATATTACAGACCACAAGCATGAATGTAAAAATACTGAAAACTATAAAGCTACAATGAATAAATTGTTTGTTTATTTTAAAATAGTTAATCTTTTACTGAAAAATCTATAAATTCACTGCCAAATCTTCTCTGCTGAAGGAGACACTGTTAAATTGTATTTTTTAATACAGGAGAAAGAATTTACTATATTTGTATATCTTAATTAACAAGATTTACTTCAAATGATTTGTGAATAGGAATTATGTTTCTTCATAATACTTAGATCAAAATTGCTTATTGTACTCATTCCCCAAATTGATGACTTACATAGTTCAGAAGATAAAATAGTCTAAAGATTTGAAATACATTTTCCACAAATAGACATAAGCTCTGCTTTTGTGACAAGGTAATTACTAACTGCATTATCTAATGTTTATTTACCTTCAAAATACTGCAGACTTAATTTTATCTACTTCTTAATCTTCTTATTTAGAACTCTGAGGCTTTAATAATTTTGTTGGAGATACTGAAAAGTAGTTGTGGTGAACTTTATTTTGGAAAGATTTTAAAATATGCAAGGTTAAAACTATGGGATTCTATCGTGAAACATTCTTGATATAATTATACATTAGACATTAATGCTATGAAGCATGCAATAGAATTCACTGGTGTCCAACAATGGCTTCTGTGCTTTGCTTCTCCTTTTATTTATGCACTAGGAAACCTCTTCTAACTGCGAGTAACCCATTTTGTCACTAAAAGTTATCCAGTAGTTCAATTCATCAAATAAAGATTTATACCATGAGTTTGGTAATCTACAGTATTTCTAAAAGATTTCAAATTGGTGATTAAAATATTCCCATAGACATATAAATATTATTAGGAAGGGATATTTATTAAAACTTTAGAGAATAAATTGTTTTCAAACATGTTGGAAGTCGCTATATACATCCAAACAATTATTTTAGGCTATAGTCCACAGTTAATCACTTCATTTTCAGAAAATGAGAAAGCCATAGTTGTTAAAAAAAGTAAAAGAGCTAAACCATTTGACATAGAAAAACTTCCACTGTTTTCTAAATTAATTTTTTTCTTAAGTTTTCTGTTTTATACTCGAACTTAAAGAAATCTTGCTTTCTAATTCATTAAAAGAGTCTGAAAAATTTTGACAGTCTTAAAGTCAAAAGATGAGACTAATGTGCTTTATCCAGATTAATACTGATCATTTAAGTGATATTCTAGGGCTGGAAGAGAGATAAGGAGAAAAAAAATAAGAACTGCCCAAATTACAGAAATTAACTGAGACGAGTTTACAGAATGAAATATAAAAAATAGATGTAACTTTGGATTATAATGTTGTATTTTAATTTCTTAGAACCACAACAATAAGGTAGTTTTATCATTCTATCACTTTTTAAAATAATTCATGAATAGAATTAAGAATTACAAATATTTGCATTAAAAGCAAAAATAATAGTATTTAATTTAAATTAATGTAAGCATGAAGAATACTTATAAGACAAGATGATATAGATATTCAGAATTCTTTAGTGTATAAAATATAAACACTTAAAGGCAACACTTTCCTTACTGCATCTTCAAAGTACAACCATCTGTACCCAGTTGTGGTGGCACATGACCGTAACCCTGGTATTCAGGAGATTGACGCAGGAAGATCACTGTAAATTCAAGGGTAGCCTGAGCTATATTGTGAGACCTTGCCTCAAAAACAAAACAAAACAGAAAGCCAAACCCAAACAAAGTATAACCACTTATGCCTTTAAAGTTCAGAGCAGTTATTTAAAAACGGAATTGCTATAAATTGAAATTATTGGCTATTGCAATAAACTAGCATCTGTGGTATTTTCATGCCTGATTATGTGTACTTTAAAATACATCTCTCCTCTTGAGGGAAAGGGACTCAGTTATTTTTATGTATACAATCTCTTGAAGCTAATGGAGGACTGATTCTTCAACAATGTGTCCAGTGAACTTAGAGAACAAGTACCTTATTCAGTATATCTTGGCATCATATTAAGGCTCTTAGAGCAAATGATAAATGATTAGATGTCTCCCTCAAAACTTACCTGGTTCACTCTCTTTAAAAGTCCAACCCTTGCTGTCTACTATGCAAAGCTCTCGGCCACTGGGTGAAATCCAAACTGAGTAGTTGATCATGATAACTCCAACATGTCACAGGCTGCAGCATCTCTCAAATTTCCACAAGCCAAATGCTTGACATGTACCTGTAATGATATAAACATTTCTTCATTTTAATTGAAAACTGTGAATCATGTCTTCAGACCATGAGTCATCACTACTTAATAAGGAGACCATAAAGCAGTGCATAAAGGGCTCTAAGTCTCTCGAGATGCTAGCAGACATGAAGTTTACATGCTACTGAAGGTAGCATGCTCTTCTTCATGTTAGTATTTATATATTTAAGAAGTCACCTCCAATAAACTTTATTATTAAGATACACATTATAGCAGACACATCTTGTCCTCTCTCATTTACGTGACCATTTTTATTATCCACAGTACTTTCCTGACTCTATCTGTAGTATTCTTAGGTAATAAGCAGTAAGATGTAACAGTGAAAACTCCACATGGTACTATGATCAATTTCCTTTGTGGGCTCTGACCATCCAGTGAATGTCAGCATTTATAGGATAAACATTGGGCCACCTTTTTAGCATGTGTGAGAAAGACCTAAGAGGAGCATGTATAAAGTGCTTCAAATTCAGCAATCACCAATGTTCTTATCAAGATACAGATTACATGCCATCAGGGACAGTTGCTTCCTGAGGGCAACTGGTAAGGGCAAGGAGAAACAGGCAGATACTCACTGTGCATCTTAAGATTGCTATTGGAGATGCTATAGTCAGCACCAGACAGGAGAATCAGACAAACATGCCCGTGTACCCACTGCCATTAAGGGAGTCCTGGGATAGCCAAGCAGACTAAGATAAGAACCAGCTACACAACCATGCACCCATAGCCATCAGGGAAGCCTCAGGATAGCTTCATGGGTCTGGAAAAGCCCACCTCGTGCCCCACTGCCTCTCGAGGAACCTGGTTTGGAGAAATCCAGGGTCCTGGTCCATTTCTCTTCACCATAGAAGGGTAGCCATCTCAGGAAAAGCCTGGGACCTCACAACAGGCTTGTCAAAGGGAACTCAAAAACATGTCAAGACAAAGGAGCAAAAGGCAATCTTAGAACTCTAGCCCACACAGAACAAGTCTGGAAAGTATAAATATGGAAGAAAATGGAAGTCACACTCCTGAAATCTTTGAGAGGATAACAACTGAAGTAAACCACTTTACGAGACTGTAAAAGTAATCATCAGAAATAATATGTCAGATAAAAGAAGAAATCACAAACATAAAGAATTGCTGAGCATATCTAAAGAAGACAAGGGTTAAAAGGAGAAGCATAGGAAATTGATGGAAACCTTAAATGAATAATTTAGGAAGGAATTACAATGCATGAAACAGATTCAAAGAGATATCCAGGATACTAAAAACTATCAACAGCTAGCAAAAACCACATGAAAGAGATTGAAGATACACTTTGAGTCCTTGAAGACAGGATTGCAGCTAGTGATCCTGAAAGGAAAGATCTCTTAAAAATAACAAGAAACCAGGAAATAACAATTAAACAGCTGCAAGACAACACAAAGAAGAATAATTTAAGAGAGAGAGATGTCAATGGAAAAGCAGGGAACAACACAATTGAAATTAAAAGGCTACTTACAGAAGTGATAGCAGAAGACTTCCCAAGCATGGGAAAAGGATCTGGCCCACAGATAAGTAAGGCATATAGAATTCCAACTAGTCAAAACCAAAATAAATCTACACCCACATATGCAATAGTCAATATCCCAGAAATTCAGCTTAAAAACAGAATATTAAAGATTGTTAGAGAAAAGAAACAGATCACCTATAAAGGAAAACCAATCAGGAACATGACAGACTTCTCAATACAAATCATCAAGTCAAGAAGAGCTTGGAGTAAAGTATTTAAAATTCTGAAAGAAAAACAGCTTCTAACTCAAAATTTCTTTCAAAATTGATAGAAAAATAAGAAACTTTCATGATAGAGAACAACCAAGGGAATTCTGATCACCCATCTAACCCTACATAGGGCACAGAGGATATTCTAGAGAAAGATAAAGATGACCATGGGTCCAGGAACAAGAATAGGAGGAGGATTGACAAGAAGGGCAGGCAACTGAACACTGGGGGAAAGTGGAGGGCCAATGGTAGGAGGATAAGATGAAAGAGACAAGAAAATGCATGCCAGTTATAACCATTTAATGTGGATGGCCTCAGGTAAATAATAAAAAGAAACACAGGTCGAGTGGATCAAGAAACAAGATTCATCATTATGCTGTACACATAAAACATATTTAACTCAAAAGGAAATTCATAGACTGAAAGTCAAAGGAGAGTATACAATTGTTTCTTGTGACAGGAAACCAGAAAAAAGCAGGAGTAGCTTCGCAATTATCCACAGAATGGATAAGAAACATATGGTACTTTTATACAATTGAAATAGCTATAAAGAAGGATACTATCAAGGCTCTTGTTAGTAAATGAATATATGCTCATGGGTGAAATGGTTCAAATTCATATGGGTGAACATCATGTTATCTCCCTAGAATAAAAAAAAAATGAAGGAGTTAGGGTAGGAAACATCTAAAAAGAAAGGTGGTAATTATTGTTAATTTCCTTTTATCTTTTTTTTGAATTCCTGGATTGTTTTCATGCTATTGTTAGGTTTGTGTTTATTCTGTCTTGTTCTGTTTTATTTTTTAGCATGTTTGATGGTATGGACAACTATGTTGAAGATATCAAGATATATTGTGGTATATCCTATTATCTGGTTTTGAGTCCAATAACACTTTTGTTGTTTTGTTTTGACTGGTTTTATTCTGTTTTGTTTTACCTTATTTTATCTTATGGTATGGGCAGCTATTTTGAAAATATATTGTGGTATAATATATTGGTGGTGAAAATATATTGTTGATTTCCTATTATCTGGTTTTGAGTTCTATAGCACTTTCATTGTTTTGTTTTGATTGGCTTATTCTGTTTTGATTTTTTACCTTATTTTATCTGATAGACAGCTATTTAGATGAAAACAAGAGACATTATGGTAGCCACTGTTGATTTCCTATTATCTTATTTTGCAATCCTATATTGTGTTCATGGTTTTGTTCTGATTAGCTTTATTGTTTTATTTTGCTTGATTTTTTTCTCTTTAAAATTAAAAAATACAGATTACATGGCAGTAACAAGTTATGAACATACTATAGACATAATCTTTGCACAGAGGGATGACCATAGTCTAACAAAGTACAGAAGGTGACTAATTTTGGGGCAAACTGCCACATATTTGATGACATAACTATGTCCATATAAAAAATATGGTGTACACACTTCATAAGTTTGTTTGACTTCCATAACCAAGATAATACTCATGCACAATGAACAATTTTTACTAGACTGATACTTTTCACAAAGATAACTATTATAGGGGCCAGAGGTTTAGCTCAGTAGCATAAGCGCCTGCCTGGCAAGTGTGATGTCATAAGTTCAATCCCTGGTACCAAAAGAAAACAAAACAAACCCCCCCCCCAAAATTATCCCATAGAAATGTAGAAAGATACTGAGTAGACCTGCTTAGTGATCTTCAGAATAGCTTATCAAACTATGTGTATGTCATGGTTTATGTCTGTGGTTTCCAGGCCTCATGAGTTTGCATTATGTATTTGTGACTGGTTCATTGTCTAGAGCTTGGTTGATGGTGTCAGTGCTACACCCACAAAGGGGTGGAGCCAGGATGTAATGTAATGGCAGGAAGAAGGTGTGTCTTGCTCTTACTGGTTTCTGCCTTGCTGTTTGCAGCCGCCATGAACTGCGGCCCCACCATGCCACCCTGCCTTGGAGCCAACTGACTGAAACCTCCAAAAACTATAAGAAATAAACCTTTCCTTTCCCAACTTTGGACTTCAGGTATTTTGTCTCAGCGACGAGTAAAAAGTAACTAAGACAGTGTATTTATATTTGGCAACAACAGTTATATTTATTAATGTATATATAAAAACAAATTATTGTTTTTGAACAGAAAGGATAGAGAAGTTAATTTGAGTCTGTAGGGAGACACATGTGAGTGTTTTATAGATTCATGGACATGTTTTATAGATTCATGGACATGTTTTATAGATTCATGGACACAGGTGCAAAAGTTGATTTTAACAGACTACACAATCATACAATCTCATGCACCAGTGATTAGAGTTTCACGAATTCCCAATATGGGGACTTTGTTAAAAGACAGTAGTGAGATATCCTACTGTCCCATTTGTGCTAGAAGGTAAGACTGGAAATAGTTGAAGCCAAACATATATCTCAAACTAAAATATAATACTTCAAAAATAACTCCATAAGAATAACAGATGCATATCTGGATACTAAATGTCCATACTTAAATTTAAAGGAGTGTCATCTTAAGGCTATTACTGATGCACAATAATATTCACATATCTAGCACAAGTTTGTACACACACACACACACGCACACACAGAGAGATAAAATTTTCTTATGTGTTGATCTAAGCTCTGATATTTATTAAGATATAACTTTAGCACGAGCCATGTGGGGCCCAGGAAGAGAGAAGTCAGTGCCTCCCAAGAATCAGTCATGCTGGGTCTGGGAGAAGCCAACCAAGAGGCAAATAGCCAGCTTTCTGGTACATGAGGTACTTGCCATTGGGGCCCAGGAGGGGAGAAGTCAGCTGGCACCTCTCACGTTACCTACTGTCTGCAGGCTGAAATGCAGACCCCACCCCACCCCTGCCCCTAAGCAAAAGCCTGGTTCAGAAGCCAGGCTGAGTGGATAGCACTTGAGGTACTAAAAGCAACTGAACACTCTTATTGTTTGGTTGACTTTGCAGGTCTGGGGCCAGCAATCTGAGTGTCCATTGGGAGAATGACAGTACGCAGTACAGCACAGTTTTTTTTATCTTGTTTTTGAGGTCCAATACTATTCTCATTGTTTTGTTTTGTTCTGATTAATTGTTTTGCTTTACTCAGTGTTCTGTTTTGATTGGTTTTATCCTGTTTTGTTTTGGTTTGATTTTCCTCTGTCTGATGGAAGGGACAACTATTGTACAGAAACAAGATAGACTGTGGTGGTCATTGTTGTTTTCCTATTATCCTGCTTCAAACTTCGGTACCGA